GGATATTTATACAAGCCATGACCACTTATAAGACAAAAACAAACAACACCGTTGACATTTGGCAATGGAATTGTCGCACTTTTCAAAATAAAGCGGCGGCTCTACAGTGCTACATCGACACGGTGATTGTTAAGCCAGAAACTACATGCGTACTAGAAATTAGCAAGTGCACCATCGAATTGCGCGACAACTATACGCACTACATTTCGGATTACCGGAAGATCGTAACGCTGGTGGTCAAAGGGATTGCGTCAAACGTTAGCTAGGCTCCTAGCAGTCAAATGCAAGATCCTATACTGTAACTCCTTCCAACAAAGCAAGAACGGGCCAAAATCCTCACAGTTAAAATTTATAGCCAACCTGAAGAAAGAAGCACGGATTTCGCGCCTATAATTACCCACGCCATAGGACACCTGGAGAGGAAAGACATACTTACCCTCGTGGGCAACTTTATTGCCCCACACTCAAACTGGGACTACAAAAGAGATACACTCAAAGAAAAACTACTTGTTCGTGCCTTAGAAAAGCAGGCATACAGCTGGAAACGCTGCCCTCCCACTCTATAGGACAGGGAATAACGTAAAAGTGGCGATACCTGCCCAAACCATATCTTTGCGCTAAATGTTCGAGACGGGCTCTGGAAAACTCTAGAGGAAAACTTGGGAAGTGTCCATTTTATCCAAGCTCCTCCCCCCTCCCAACTCCCAAATTCAAACGCGGACTTGGTTACGCGTCTATAACGAAGTGGCCAGTATATCGGAAGTACCCATTCCTTTCAACCATGTGCACGCCAGAAAGCGTGGAAGAATGGGCATTGGGCATTAAAGAGGCTCATGAAGCCTCTACCCGCAAAATTGCACTAACTACGGAAAAACCATTGGTTGACTCGCACCCGCTACATTTGTGGGACTGTTGACGGGGATTCACCAAAAGATGGAAACAACAAAGGCCGAACAGGAAATTAGGAATAATGATTGAAGAACTCTCAGACCAAGCGAATGCGTGCGCGCGTAAACTACAAGCGGGAAAATGGGCTCAGTTTAATGATTTTTAAGGGGAACCCTATCGACACCGACAACTTGGGACATACTAAGAGGTATGCTCAATCCAGAAAATACAAGCACTGCAACTACGCGAGCCCTCAGAACACTAACGGGCACATACGAGGCGACAACACAAAATATCTGCAGGATCCTAGAAAAAGACACATCGGAACAAAATATTCACAGCGTGTTACACGCGCTTAAGTAGGCATAGAAAATGACACCCTAGACGTCCCTCTAACTAAGGCCGAGCTTTTTGCGGCCAACCAAGCATTTAGTAAAGTTGAGCACCCGCGGAATATGGTATATTAAATTCTATGCTCAGCAATTTAAACGACGAGCAGATTAAGCACTTAGTCAAATACTTCAATGAGGAGATCTGGGAGACTGGGCGCCTTCAACAACAGAAAGAGATGTCACCATTATACTTTTTTCGAAAGCCGCCGAACCTCGCACTCTGCAGAACATACGTGTGATATCCCTCGCATCCTTCCTAGCGTAACTCTCTGAAAGGTCATTCATACGAGGCTCATGAATTAAATAGAAGAGCACAGTTTCCTATCAGATTAGATGTAGGCTTTAGGAGACCCCGATCCCCTCAGGACATATTTCTTAGACTTGAGGAGGGTGTCCTAAGCAATATTCCTAAGGGAGGGAAGCACATAGTTGCAGCGCTAGATTTCAAAAGTGCTTGTGACACTATGTCGCACACACTTATATTCGAAGAACCAGAAATAGTAGAATGCGCAGAGAAAGCGTACATTATGTGGAGGTGCTGACATCCCCTGTAGAGTTTGCGCCGCGTGGCGCACGTGTCTCGCACAGAGGCCATATTTCGGGATCATGACTATTGGCGTTGTGTTCGCGAGGATTGATTGCCACCATCATCATCATGATTAGAAATCGTTAGCGCCGGCGGCGACGCCTGGCGGAAAGCCTTAGTGGCTGAGCACGAGAAATATGCTGGGCTCTTTCTCTGGTGGCGCTTGGCGCGAACGGTTGTCTCTGGCAGTGGGACCCCGGTGCAGGGCATCGCGGGCCATCTGCCGGCGGCTCTTGCGATGAGTCAAACGTTGGCGCTGCCGCCTTGTGTTTGTTATGTTGTTGAGTGTTGTGTAATTATGTGTAAGGTTGTTTAGCGTGTGGATCACAGTAATTGTTATAATAATTCGGCTGATGATATTGTCGATCAAAAAGTAGTTGACTAGACTCGTGTTGTTTTCTTTGTTCCGATCACGTCTGCTGGGTCCGTTCACTCCAACAGCGTGGTGGCATTAAGCAGCTTCAGACCTCACAAATTACATATGTTCCTTAGTCAAAGATAGGAAAACCACGAAAGGAATAGACAACATCAGGTCAGAGAAAATTGGACATGCCAGGTAAGGGTACACATCAAGGGGTTATTCTATATTCTCTTTTATTAAATTTAGGCATAAAAAGGCGAGCTAGGAGATTACAACAAATTGAAAACTCAAAATTCTTACTATATGCGGACGCCATCACTATGTACGTGACAACAGGCTGTCTAGGGTAAAAAGAGCAAGTCTTACAAGAAGAAATAAAAGCAGTTATTGAGTTTGGGGAAGAAATTGGTATATTTAGCACTACAAACAAATCTGAGTGGATAAGGTTAGATGGCCGTAATTATAGAGAGACTAAAGGGTTCGCCTTTGGCTAGGCAATACAGTAATTCAGGAAAACCAATGAATCCGAGTTCTAGGTCTGTGGCCGCAAGAAAATCGCAGAGCCGATTTCATGATCAATGTGCTGAAAGCGACCACCAAGCAGATAGCTTGGATGATAAAGAGAGTGACGAAAAAAGGCAGAGGTCTAACGAAGATGGAGGCCATCTGACTAGTGCACGTGTTTGTTCTCTGAAGGGCTACGTATAGCCTACCGTATTTATTTATTTATTTATTAGAATACCCTCAGGGCCAGTAGGGCATTACAGAGGGGGTGGGTACAACATATATAACACACAAGAAAAAAAGACAAAATAAAGAAACAAGTATCAGATGCGCAAATCAGGAAGGCAACATAAGTCAACTAAAAATGTATAAGAATTCAAGCACATACAAGACAAAGATAGATAATGGAAACTGCGTATAGTTACAAGCATTGCTGAGAAATTGCAGTCTTGAATAACAAAGGGTCTGTTATTGATACAACGGAAGAGGGAAGGTGGTTCCAATCGGCGGCTGTTTTCGGTAAGAAGGCTGCTGAAAAGAATTTGGTGCGGCAAAACGGAATGGCAACCTTATGCTGATGATCAATGCGCGATGAGTGGTATGACGGTTGTGAAATGAGGTCTCGCTTCATTGATGGATTGTGAAAAAATATCTTATGAAAAAAATGCAGTCGCGCCAGTACCTCCGGACAGTTAAATTGGGTAGGTCAAGGTTAGATTTCATTTCTGATATGCTAGCAGTACGGGAATAATTAGAACAAATGAACCGAACTGAGCGGTTCTGAACAGATTCTAACGCGTTAATTAAATTTTGCTGCACGGGATCCCATATAGCGGATGCGTACTCAAGCTTTGGGCGAATTAGTGATCGGTATAATAGAATTATACCGATCACTAATTATGAGGAGGTCCACCCTAGCGAAACCAAGGAAGCGGACGTGATCATACAGATGGTGTGTAAAGAAGTCCCGGGACTCCCACCCGGCACATCTGCTGAAACATTACGACCTCTCAGACTTTCGAAGATCTGAAAGCAGCGACTATGCTATTGCATATGGAGCACCTCAACCACTTGAAGGCCGACAAACGCGTCCTTGCGGACTTAAATTTTCCTATTCATCCACATTGTTGCGAGGAGGGTCTGGTATCTGTACCCGAAACATTACGGGAAGAAGTGATAGTTTGTCCAATTCTGAAGAACATGAGTCCACTCTGTCATGGCACAAGGCGGGCGGCTAGAGCGAGTAAAACTCATTAAAATTTCTGGTGGGCACCATGACGTAATTTACACGAACGGGGCAAAGTTCAATTATGGTCACATTATAACAGCAGTAAATTACTCTGAACATACGAGTATAACCATCTCGGCCTCAATGCGAATACCTTGTACGAGCAGAGCTGAAGCAACTGCCATAGCATTGGCAATTAAGCACGCAGACGCAAGAGGGAACTCAGTAGCAGTCATGACAGACTTGCAAGCGGCTTGTCGAATGTTCATAAACGGACTGCTACCCCGACTAACCCCTAGGCTACCAGGCAAAATATTTCACGAATGCCAAAGCATCACACTGGTGTACGGACACTCGGGGGTCCCAGGAAATCAACGGGCGCCCGAACTAGCTCGCGCACTAGCAAACCGAGCCAACTACACCCTGACTATAAAGCCAAAAGACAACAACCTACACTACATCCTGAAGCACCAGCGTCGCGAACGGCAAATGTACGCATCTCCCCGCACTTGCAGCTCCGAGTAGAAGACGCTCGCAAATACTAAAACATAGAAAGAGCTATCCGCACTTGGCCCTATAGCACGAAATGTGGCCAACGGTGTGCGCCGGCAATGCCCATGGGGTACGAGGCGGGCATCTTTTCCCCAAATTATGTGGGAATGCATGTCCAGGCCAGGAAACAAATTCTCCGCTGGTACATGCCTTACTAAGGGAGCTCTGGGAGGCCGTTCTCGCTCGAGCTGGCTTGGAGACCCAGAGGGGTCTCTTGGATCAGGCTCAGCGTACAGCAATGGCCACTGAAGTCCTAGACTAGGTACTTCCCCTAGCCACTCTTTTGTCTCTTTTTGTTTTTGAATAAAGTTTTCAATCAATCACACAGCCAGCATCAGATCAGCCTGAGGTCATCTGGATCGGAGCGTCTCTCTGAATAATTCACCTAGCAATGAGGTTTCATGAAGTCTTGTGTGGCTGCTGCAAAAATACGCACTGCCAACACAGTCAAACACCGTGGGAAGGACACCTATGTGAGCGCCAACTTACCTCGATGTTGGTGTCCAGAAGCACGTTGTCAGCGACCGACTTGCGCCTGCGGAGTCCTATGAGAAGCTCGGAGAACTCCTCCTGGAGCTCGCCCAGTCGCGCTTCCAGCCGCTCCCGCTCCTCTTCCTCCGGTGTCGTCACTGGCGGCGCAGGTGAGCGCGGGAGCTGTGCTGCCAGAGGGCCTTCTTCCGGTTCCGACGCGGGGGGCAGATCGCCGAAAGGAGCGACGCCATCGCCACTTGCGGGCGTCGCGATGCTCCGGACGCGTAGTTCATCCAGTGCGTGCCGAACTCGCTGCAACTCGTCCTGGACACTCTGAAGTTTTTGTTGTAACTGTGGGGCGAAACAAAAAAAGAGGCAGCGGATGTAACACCAAGGCAAATGTACACACTGACACTGCCAACACCACGATATTAAATTGACATGAGCACCACAAACTACCACTTCTATTTTGCGGAGGCGGAGGCATTGTAAGGAAAAAAAAAAGAATTGGACCCGTATCTGCACGTTAATCTGCAAATGTCATCGAAAGACGATAGTCTTGCGTCTGGAGAGAGTGAACAAAACGTTTATTTGATGTTCTGCGCAAGAAAATCGATGAATGGTATCTGGAGGCGCTGTGTTAGAGTGCCTCGAGCGTGCAGTGGAGGCGAATGCGCGCATCAAGTCACGTCACACGTGAGACACGAGCGCTGTCTCGCAGTTATCTTGGAAAACAAAGCACGCGGCTCTGAGACGGGCGTGCGCGCCCGTCTCGGAGGTGATAACGTGTAAAACGCCAGGCGATGGGTAGGTGCCACCACCATGTCATCTTAGCAAAGCGTTGGGAACACTTTCCTTTTCGAGCAAGCGTTACATAGTCAGCGCCACGTGATAAACGCTATGGTCCCTAGAATAGCTTATGTATGCCTTTTCTAGTACAAGACGCACATACAGAATATATACGTGTTGTTATGGTGCCTCAGATATGCGCAATGATTGCTTTTCAATAGACAATCGCACAAGAATGAACGCTGAACCTTGAGCAACATTGGCGGGCGCTGTGAATGGGGTTGGTCGTTTGGGGTATCGGCTGGTGGTGTTTCGAGTACCAAATATCGTTAAGGATGGACAAACAGACAAATGAACAGACACCAAAATTTTTGCGTCGAAGGTCCCCAAGAAAGACTATAGCCTTTAAAAATGGCAGTGTATTCGCGTGCTTAGGTGGAAATGAGATATTTTTCTGCCGTTCATACTACGCGAATTCTGGTCTCATCCGCTCGAATATGGCACTGCGTGAAATATGGACGCCATCAGGCAGTGACGTCAGAAAACGTGAGCTTGAGCAGAAACAATGACCACTGCCAGGTGGCAGCACCATACTGTGGGCAGGGGGTGTTTTCGTGCATAGCCTCGTAATTTCAGCGCAGCCTAAGAAACGTTAGGATCTTCTGAATTACGTATCTACGCATTTTTTAGTAATGAACATCATACCTATTACTTACGTATTGATGTTGGTCTAACTTATGCGTAAATTTGCTTTTTGTTCGATTCTGTTCAGAAGTATGAAAGCAGCCACCAGTTCATGATGGCTGGGCGTTCATCAAGTGGTTAAAATTTGGCCAGGTGACTGAATCGAGTTACGTGCAGACAGACTAAAATTTCTGCGTTTAAGTATCCCAAGAAAGACTATCATCATTAAAAAAACAGTTTCGTCGCATTGGCGAAGCAATAATTGTGATACACTAGAACTCCGCTGTTACGTTCTACACTGCTGCGTTATCCTGGCTACCATAAAATTCGCGCTATTGCGTGATGGTGGGACTGTTGGATACGTCACGAACTGCGCTTCCAGTCAAACAAGCAACCACAGAAGATTGCGACCAATTTGACTTTTTATGCAGTTTGGCCTGGCTCGGCCGTAAGACTAGCCACATGAGTGGCGTAAAGGACCCGCACAACGCTTACTTTCACTTGCCACGAACAAAGGCATAGTCTTTGAAATTCATAATAGAAAGACGGTGTAATTTCTTTCAAAGTGCTTTGTAGAACTCGCGAAAGTAAGGTATTCGAAAGTGGCATTTGTTTCTGCTGTAGCGTTGGAATGAACTCATCATCATCGTTATTTGTCGGAGGACGAGAATTACATACGGCAGGAAAACATTCAGCACAAAGGAAAGACACGCAACACAAACAGGGTGGTTCGCGTAGTTCGTGGTCGCGCTGTGAGCGTTACGTGTGCTTAGCTTTTTCACGCTAACAACTGTTGCCGTCAAAATACTCGCATTCGTTGATTCTATTTCTGTACATGATGCGGTTTTCAGCTTCACTGTTCTATATTTGGCTCTGATTGTGGCTCATTGAAGCAATGCGAGCGCCATTTACTAAGTTGGTCTTTGGTGGAGCAGTTGTCAGTTTTCCTCGGCTACAGCTTTCGAAAGCACTTTGACTTTTGCGAGGCATTCAGCCATCAAATACGAGCCACGGTGGTCTGACACTGTTCCGACAGTGCTGCATTATTGCTCGGAGATGGCGACGCATCCGGAGACAATTCGCCACGCCCATAGACTGTTGCGCCACCAAGCACATTTCAGGAGCATCCTCTCGAGGTTGGTAGGTCGACGACAGAATGGCAGCACTACGCAGTCTTTCCCATGTTCGGATGTGCTAGCCTCAGTGTTAACGCGTTAGCAAGAAGCGAACACTACGACTGTGCATGTTTCCTGGACCAGTGACCAAGCTGGGCCCCCCGTGACACGATTAAGTTGATTCGTTTTGCGAAACACAAAGTTTTCGTGAAAATACGTAGCAACTGGCGCTTTCAATGATATCCCACAGCGTACCCATATTAGCGTCGCGAGGTTTTCTGCAGCCATGTAGGTGAGTTGAATGTTATCACCTGACCTTTTCAGTTAAACCGAAACCCCTCCTTTACTTGCATACAGGATTCAACAATGTTTTTGTAGTACATGAATCTTATAACATTGCATGCGGGAAGGCACGATGCTGTAGCGATGCGCTTTTCTGCAACCGAGAGAAAGAGAGAGAACACACGGAGAAAGGCAGAAAGGTTAACCAGGGCTGAGTCCCGGTAGGCTACCCTGCACTGGGGAAGGGGAGAGGGGAAGGAAAGTTATAGAGGAAGACAACAGAGCAATCTTAACTAGAAATACTCTAAAATAGGCGGCATTGTCATTCGCCAGAAAAGTGCTGCTATTAATAGTGCGAACGATGTCTCAGTCATACGAAGATGCGATGTCGCATGCTATATACAAGAGAAACGGAGTTAGTTAATATAGTTTAGTAAAATAGGGTTAAATAATGGCATGGCGCCACAAAGCGATGGGTCACAGCTTCGAATCCCCAACTCCACTCAAATCAAATATTTTTCTTATCTCTTTATTTGCGTCTACCTCAAATTTCAACCAACGGATGACGCCGATTTTTCTTCAGTGCAAGACACTGACGCCACCCACACCAGAGTTTCTGCGAAACAAGCTCTTTGATACCTTGGCGTTAACAGCTGATAGTTGCCTGACTATTAATCCGGCATTGGCTATGGGGAGTCAAACGCGGAAGTCGATATATATCATCCCACAGGTATGCAATGTGTGCGTGAGTTGTTCTCACATAATACGTCAGCAAACAAAAACATATCCCACAACACCTCCATCGGCATTCAGAACAACTGATTGATATGTGGGGTTTAACGTCCCAAAACCACTATATGATTATGAGAGACGCCGTAGTGGAGGGCTCCGGAAATTTCGACCACCTGGGGTTCTTTAACGTGTACCCAAATCTGAGCACACGGGCCTACAACATTTCCGCCTCCATCGGAAATGCAGCCGCCGCAGCCGGGATTCGAACCCGCGCCCTGCGGGTCAGCAGTACCTTAGCCACTAGACCACCGCGGCGGGGCCAGAACAACTGAGTTATCCCTGTATGACACACCATAATTTCGGTAAATGGCCACAACGTTCAAAGACTTGCGACAATATTTGGATGGCAACATTGCGATTGCACATCGAACACATCATTTCTTAGTGGGCGACAGGCACCTTGAGCGTTTTCATGTAGGTATTCATCTCTCTAGACGCCTACATCTGGCCGCTTTAGTGATGGCCTCGTTAGGTTAGGTAATAACAAATTTATTATGGGAGGGTAACATTTTTAGACCAAATATGTCTGGCTGGTCACCACATTAATGGCATGGAAATGCCATCGTGTACCGTCATCAAATACTTTCCTCCGGACTCATTTAACACATAACTGTGGCAGCGGTATGCGGGTATGAGCCACAGGTTGACAGTTCATGTCTACCAGGACTGGCAAGAAGAGACATGCGAAGTTTCATTGCGAGAGTGCTAAAAAAAACTGACCTGGAACCTATCCAAGCGCCGCTGTTAATTAACATGATTTATCCGGAGTTCTGTATTCTCACAATACTGCGATAAATGCCACGACACCATAGCTCTTACTCATATGCTCTGGCATTGCTCAGCGTTACACGATGACAAGAAAAATACTGAAGAACGATGGGACGCAGCTTTTCGCAGTACAACATAAGAGGGACAATTATGGGCAGTCGAGCGGACCACAAAGCCGCTGAAAGGCTTTGTCTTTCAGTGCCAACGTGGGAGCCGCCCACTTCAGGCTAGAAGACTAGCGCGACCTATTGGACCTTAATAAAATTTTTCCATCCATCATTCATCATCAGTGTTGACCAGCCAAATACAAATAATAAATATTAGGGTCCCAGCATGGAACCAAACCCAAAAAATCTGCATGGCAATTAGGTATTTTACCACAGAGCCACGTCAGGCCTCAAAACTGCTCTGGGAAAAGACCCTACGCCAGCATAAGGTCGGTTAAACGCCAATAGTGGTTACAATGCTGACTATTGAATTTTATTACCATTGCATATGTACTTTTAGGTACCACCCTCACGTCGGGCTAACGTCAATTGTGGTTAACGCCATCCACTGAAGTTGATTTGTGTAGTGTCCAGGGCTACCATCCCCGCGAGCACAACCGCTACACATCAGCTCATTGCTTCTCGTGCTGCTAACACTCATGATGCTGTTGGCATAGCTAACGCAAGTGTGAAGAACGCATAAACAATGTGATCTTTGGGACATGCGCTCTCTCAGAAAACACACGTGCTGAGAGCACAGATAAAATCATACATTAAAATCATACAATGCGAGTAAGTGAATTCTGGAAGGAGGGGGGGGGGTTCTTTTAGAATTGGAAAAGAAAAGGGAACCCCGCAACTGTCTGCCGCTAAGGGCGACACCTCCATTGTGGTTCACAGGGGAAGGGAAAGGGGGCAAGGGGGAAAGGCACAG